GCAAATTGTATGGCTTAGAAAAGCCTTGGACAACCTGTGACGGATTGTTGGATAGCAGGCAGGAAAGGAATTGGTGACAATATTGCTGGCCAGAATTTTCTGAACAACCAATTCCTATCTTCAAATTCCTGGACAACCGTAAGAGCAGTTTTAGTAGGCTAGGGTTTAAACTTTGAATGAGGTGATTAAGTCGGTTAAGGGAGAGGAGAAGGGTCGGGTGGATTTGGAGGAAGATTAGGGAATTAATTTGGGAGGTTAAAGAGGGAGTTAATTAGATAGAAGAGAGGTGTGGGCCAGCTATGCAAAGTGGAGCAATTAATGTCCCCAATTATTGGATACGGAATTTAGATTGATTCTGATTTGATTTCAGAATTTTTAAAAGCTTGAGAATTTCCTAAAATAAGTCTTTCTTTCTTCTTTTTGCTCAGGCAAGAGATTTGAAATTTTGAATTCATTTGAATTTGGAATTCAAAACCTTCCAAATTGGCAAGAACTTATTTTAAGCAAGGGATTAAATCTGATTTGATTTCAGATTTAAAAATTGGGATTTTCTAAAATAAGTCTTATTGTTTAGGAAAGATATTTGAATTTTAAATTCATTTGAATTTGAAATTCAAAACCTTCCAAATTGACAACAACTTATTTTAGGCAAGTTGGAGCCTTGGAGGTCATGGGTAAAGGAGGGCCGGCGGTAATGGCTTGGAGGTAGACGGCCGGGGCTGATTGGGGGTGTGGCTGACGGTTTTGAAGGTGGCGGGTGAGGGAAGTCCTTGCTGAGAAGTGAGGAAGAGGAGGTGGGGCTTGGGAGGTGACCGATGGTTTTATGGGGTTGGAAGCTTGCGAAGGCCGGCGGTAATGGAGGTGGAAGCACAACTAGACCGACAGCTAGGGAGAGAGGAGGAGAAGAGATAAGAGAAAGGTAAAGAAGAATCACGAACCCGGACGTTTCCAAGGTTGGTGGGTATTGCGTTGCCCTTCACCAAGGGACTTTCTCAAAGCCCTCTCCAAGAACTCTCAAACTCTCACAAGAGGAAAACGCAGAAATTTTCATAATAATCTTCATTTGCCCTCAAGGAAGGAGGGGAGGGCTTTAAATAGCCAATACAATGTTAATTGTTTTTTTTTTCTAAATAGCCAATACAATGTGACAAATAAAAAGTACTAAAATGCCCCTAGGGCTTACACATGTCTAAATCCTTAAGTAAGGGCAAACATGGAAAAGACGACAAAATCATAAACAAAACTAATACATCAAATAATAAAAATGAACATAAAACAAAGTAGAGCGGATGTCCTCATCAGTTGGCCATATATTTAGAATTATTTCAATAGTTCTCAAATTGGGTTGTATATGATGATCATGCTCCCAGCTTGTTGATTGATTTATAAAAACTCGTTATGGGTAAAGCACTGATGAGGATATTTGAAGTTTGAGAGTTTATTTGAATAAAATTTAGCTGGGCTGCTCTTTCATTTTTTTCTGTGGTAAAATAGTGTTGTCTTCTATCATGTTGTGTAGATTTTTATCAGTACATATGGCAGGCTAGTTGTTATAGTACATTTTAGAGATTTTTTCAATTGATAGTTAAGTTTCTTTTATCAATCTTTTTTATCACGTTTCTTTATAAATACCAAGTGTCACAACTCTTTTTTCAACTTCAACACTGCCATTTGAGGTAGATATTGTTTCTTAATTTTTATGTAACCAAGTTTCTCCATGCGTAAGTGTAATAGTTAGTGGCGGATTTTCTGAAGTGTTATGTTTGTCTTTAACCTGATTTATTTCATTTTTCATTTGGTATCGTCTTGCTAGCAGTTCTTTCAATCAAGTATTTTTATTTCTCATTTGATCTCCATTTCTCTTCTGCATTGCTATGATGTATTGTCACAATTTTTTGAGATCAACTTTGTGTGATTATTTCTCTGGCATTGGCATGGGCTATAAACTCCATTTCTCATCTCTTGTCTGTTAATGATGTTCAAGTGTTTGGAGAAGCCTCCATTAGCAACCCTTTTTAGCTCAAAATGATCCTCAATCACTTTCACCAAGCCAGTAGCCTTCAAATTAAAACTATTAAATGCTCAATCAGCTTTTCTGAATGCACCAAAAACCCGTAGAAGTCTCCATTATGACTTTAAACCTCTCGTCAAGAATATTAGGCTTTTGCTAAATGTTTGTAAGGCTCATTGCCTTTTTATGGCCAGTAGACTACAACTACTTAAATATACTATCGAAAAAATCAATGCCTTCTAGTGTTGTGCTCTTATCATTCTTGAAGTCTACATTATAGCAACTAATAGATGTTGCTCAAGATTCCTCTTCCATGGCAACCTTGAAGCCAAGAAAATTCACCTTGAGATATACAAAAACATTATATTTGCCGTTTTCCCTCTCCTCCCTTTTTCCCCTTGAAATTTGATAGAAAACAACCACCACTAGTGCAGAAACTTGCTGAATTTCAGGGAAATTCAGCAAAATGGTGCAGATTTTTCAAGCTTTCTAGAGAAATAAGAGGAATAATCACTTCAATTTCAACAATGGAAGAAGAAAACAGGAAACCGATACAAGAATCTTCAATTCAAGATGAAGATCCAACTCTCCAAATCTCTAGCCAAAGCCTAGAGCCCAAAAGCAAAACCTAGATCTCAAATTCAGCCTCCAAATTCAAGATAACCCTAACCCTAGCTAGAATAAAGCAATTAAAGCAAAAAAAAAAAATCCTAATCCCTAAACAACCCTTAATTTGAATTTTCCCTCCAATCCTAAACATAATTAGTGTGTGGGCCCCTCAAATCCAGCCTCCTCTCCCCTCTTGATTCTGCCCCCTTGTGTTCGCCTCCTGCAGGTGAGAATTGGATCAGGATGGACTGGTTCAACTGGCCCCCCTTAGGCCAGCCTACAAAATGCTATCACTTTCCTCTCCGATTAGAATTTATGTACTTACATAGCTTCCCTGATGCTCTCAATCTGATTATCTTTAATCTCGATTAAGCAAGAAGTTGATACTAATCTTTGGAAAGGCAGCAAGAACTTTTGTTTTAAAGGCTTTACTTTTGCTTGTTTTGATGGATTGCGCTAGCTTGGTTGTCAATTGTCATAGCTAGCTGAGCCATAAAAAACTTTTTTATGGGTTTTCCATTTTTAACTTAGCTTGCTTTGAAGAATGGTTTCAAAATTATGGATATTCTAAGAAATATTTTTTCTTCCTCAAACTTGCCAATTATGCCACCAGGATAATGAAACCTTGGGGCATATTTTCTTGTCCTGCTCATTCTCTAATACTCTGCTTAAAGGTTGTTTTCCATGGACTTCCATTTTCCTTCCTAGTCTCTCAATACTTCAATTATTAGAGCAACACTGAAGCAGAGGCAATGATTGTGGTTCTTTTAACTTCGCTATTTGGACGAGCTTTGGGACATCTCTGAGTTTTTGACTGCCTTTGGTCGCTACTTGTATGAATTTTAGTTGTATAAGCATTTAGACGATGAGGAATGGACTCTAAGTTTTCGTTTCAGACTGTTTTTTATTGCTTCTTAAACTAGCTTTCTAGTTATACTAGAAAACTACTTTAAGAATCAGTAAGAAAGCCGTCCCAAACGAAGTGTTAAGTTGTCTCCCTCTTGTGAATGGCACCTATGGACTTTCTCTCATCTTCTTGCCTCTTTGAGTATTATTGCAATCTTTCAAGGCGCATTCTTAGTTTTGAGACCATTAAGGCTTTGTTTGGGAGGGTTTTTTATTGTTTCTTAAAACGATTTTTTAATACAAAAAGTAAAAACTTTGTACTACAAAGCTGCTTTAAGAAGCAGTAAGAAAGCTGTTCCAAACAAAGCCTAAGTGGAATTTATAAATTGTGGGAAATATTTTTCTTGAATTTCCCTACACTGAAGCAGAGGCAATGGCAACGCACCCTTTAAATTTTCACAATTTTACAGGATGCTATTTCAGAGATTTAGGAAACCACCTGTGCATACGCCGCAGTGTTTTTAGGGTACTGCAAGGATAGCAGATTACAAAAAGTTTTCCCCTTACAACCCTTGAATTTTAATTGAACGGATGCAAATACTCGAAAGGTTAGCCATCTCTATATTTTCACTGTTTAATCTCTTAATCCGCCACTTGTGCTTTTAGTGTGTTTAAATTCGGTCTGAATAGTTCAACCCATTAATAGCCATGTTGGTATATTTGCATATGGATAAGAATCATAGTGCCTTGCTTCGGATGTGCTTCATATTACTAATAATTTAGGGACCCTATCCATGTTCTGTTGTTCCATATATGATGTGACCATTTTATGTCCATCGAAAGTTCTCCCGGAACAAGAGAAATTGCCGAACTAAGGCTTTGTTTGGGACAACTTTCTTACTGTTTTCTAAAGCAGCTTAAAGTACAAAAAAATATTTGAGCTAAAAATTTTTATATTAAAAAACTACTTTAGAAAACAGTAAGAACGTTATCCCAAACGAATCCTAAATTGAATGACTAATTCCAATTAATATAGCTTTTATTAAATATTAAACGAGTAGGGTATTATATATTTGAATTGGAAATATTTTATTTCATTGTCATGTTCATTGGCCACTTAGAAATGCAGAGGTAGTATTTCCTTTTACATTCCAGATAGTTAAAAAGTGTATTCTGCGATATTTGGAATCCTAAGAATGTATTAATTTGGCTCTTATATTAGATTAAAGATACTGCTACTACCCCTTTTAGAGATTTAAGGAAAGAACAGAAAATGGCAATGATTCTGTATGCTCTTATATTTATTTTACTACTTTCTGGCTATGTGGGACAGCTTTTAACAGCTTTTAGTATAAAATTTTTTAATTCCAGAAATTTTTGTACTATAAAGCTGTTTTTAGAAAGCAACAAAAAAATTATATGAAATGAAACATGAATGCTGACTGCAACATTTTGAGCTAAGGATTACTTTTAAAATAGTAAGCCTCTGCCTTCTTCCAATCGTAAGATATAAGATACACAAGACAGTTCATACTATCTTCAACATAGCAAAATACCACAGAACGAATCACACGATAAAGTTAAGACTCTTAACGAATACCAAGTAGTAAACTCTTCTCATTATATTCTCTTATTCTTCCACAAAAATCATTCAGATAGCAGACTGATCTACACCATATTACATAACGCCAACATTAAGAGACACGAAGAAACTAATTCAAAGCTTCCTATTCCATAAAGGACATCAGGTTTCTCCTTTTGCTCGCAGTCTCTCATTTAGGATCTTAACGCCCATGTACCTTGTGCATAGAAGAGCATGTCAGTATAATACAAAGTTCATACACAGTCAAAAACATTTGAAAAAAATAGTCTGCATACATTTAACTTTATAAATATCAAGTTATTTACAATGCCAAATGCTAATAAAATAATATATCAAGTTAAAACTGACTAGGTTAAATTAACAGTTCTTGCATCTTTTAGACTTTGTAATCAATGTAGAATTGAGGCTTCATTGAGACGGTTTTCTTAATACTACTTAAAGCAGTTTTCTAGTACAATTATAAGAATTTTTATACTTCAAAACTCTTTTAAGAAGCAGTAAGAAAAACGCAACCAACAAAGTCTGAATTAATTAGTCATCTATATCTTCCAAATCAATATCCAATCAAGATCGACAGTATACAGTTAAAAAGACTCGGCTAAAAAATATTAGAAATGATCTTTATTTATTAAATTTAAATGAAAATTTAATTCTTAATAAAACATAATGGAGAAAAAAGATTCATTCAACAAATCCTTTATAATGAGATAAAAGATTAATATAGTCATTGTAGTACTATTAGCGGTATATAGTTCAATTTGACTTTCCTAAAATTTCCCCCAGAACTTAATACTCACCCTGAAAGCAAAAAAAAAATGAAAAACGACAGCAGGGAGGTCGGGGCGCAAATTTTTGGAGCCCACATATTGACATAGAATTGAATGACTGAGTAAAATCTTTAATTAGAATTGAATCAAACTCAAAGATTAATTAAATGCTCAGCCTACCCATTTAAGGGGTCTCTATTTGGAGGTGCCTCACATGCCCCGTGTCATATCTTATTTATGTGCTCTTGTGGCATAAACCTACCGGACACCGTGTTCCACCGCAACCAACATAATGCATTACGCAGGGACAATAGAATGTTCATACTTCATAGTTATGATAAATAGAATTTAAATTATTATTTTTTATATATTTTTATTTAAACATCTTTGAATTTTAAATAGTGAAAATGGTTGAAATAGGCTCTCAACTATTTATGCTGCGTAATTTTACTTTTGGATTTCTTAAATTATTTTATTTAATCTATTGATTTGTCAAATATAATCTGAAATGATCCCATATTTAATTTTTTTAAGATTTCATACATATATATATATATATATATATATATATATATATTACTTTAGATCATATTTGAAAAATCAAAAGATTAAATTAGACCTTTTTAAATAATCTAGTATGAAGATATTTTTCATAAATAATTATGTTCATATAATAATTCGAGGGAAAAGGAGAAGCAAGCTACGAGTTACCTTCCAAGCATCATGACCGTCGCCTGCGGATTCGTCCCCGGCGAGAAATAGAAGGTGGAGCCATCAATCACCCTCAGCCCATCAACGCCAATAACTCTGTAATCCCCATCAACAACCCTTCCCACCTGGCACCCCCCATGGTAATGCCAGATAGTCATCACCGTATCCTTGCAAAACTGCTCCAGATCCTTGGAGTCGTTTTGGTGCCTCGGCAGCAAGTTCACCGGAAAGTTCACCGTCATGTTGAGCAGAGCCTCTATGGAGATGAAGGGGTATCTGAACTTGCGGAAGGGTTTGGTTTGAATGACTTTCTCGATGGTCTTGATGCCTTGGACGCATCGGCGGAGATCGAGCGGGTTGCTGAAATAGTTGAAGGTGACGGATGGGTTGTCGTCGGGGTTTAGGGTTTTGAGCTCCAGGTGGCCGGTCGAGAGCGGTCCGATGACTTTTTCGAGGATGAAGCCGCCGCGAAAGCCCGATTCGTCGAGATTGTTCATGGCTTTTACGGCGCGTTCGATGGCCTCAGGGGTTCTTTGCTTTGGCGGGACGGTGGAGAGCTGCCCTGTCTGGAGTGTAGGGGGATTTTGTGATTGGCATTTGATTCCACAAAAATAATTATGTCAGCATATTTGATGTAAAATGCACTAAGATTAATTTTAATTTTTTTTAATTTTTGTTGAGATTAATGTTATATATATGATATCTTATATTATATTAATCTCTTAATAAATATAAGAGTTTTGAAATATATTGGTGCAAAAATATGACAAGATGGGCTTCCAAATCCCTTGAAATTTCATTGAGATATAGTATGTATTATTAATCAAAGGGCAAATTCAAGATTTAAGTATTCAGTGCGGACGCTGAATGCTGTTTGGAAATTAATCATAATGTGTCACATCATCCATTCGTTGTGTACTACGTCTTGATACACTGACGTGACTACACCTGATTCTCCTCCGAACGTATAGCTGCTTTTGACCTCCGCACAGAAAAATTTCTCCAAATTCAAATACCTTAAAGTTCATCATAACATAAAAATATGTTCGAATATTCTTGTGTTGAATTTGGAAATTGTCAAATTTTAGTATTTTTTAAACATTTGAAAACAAGTTTTTGAATTTTTAAAATTCCTCAAAATTTTATTTTGATTATCGTTTATTTCAAATTAAACGACAATAAAGCAAGGGAACAAGTCTATTAATGGGATGCTTTGTCTGTATATTAAGTTGAATATTTAATACTGTATTATGACTTTCAGACGCCGATGATTTAATACTCTCGTGGACCACTCGTAAAGCTTCTGCTCTAAATTAAAGTTCGTGAACAGACAATCGAAAATGACAAGCATACCTGAGGCGAAAATATGCCGAAATCCCTCGCCGCCGGCGCCTCCGCACCACCACCACCACCAGTCGAGCCAGCGAAAAAATGCCCACTAGCGGCCTCAATATAACTCCCAAACTTCGTAATCCCCACCACCTGTATCAACGAAGTCTCCACCGGCGTCGGCGACGGCACAAATATAGCATTCATTGGATTATCCGACATCCCCTTCCCCACCATCGGCTGATCCACCACCACCTTTATCCCTTTCTTCTCCAAGTCCGCTCTCGGCCCCACGCCGCTTAGCATTAGCAACTGCGGGCTCCCCAACGCGCCCGCCGCCAGCGTAATCTCACCCCCTCTCTTCACATACGCTCTCTTCCACCTTCCCGTCTCATCCTTAAACAGCACTCCGTTCGCCGCCGGTTTTCTCCTCCCATTCAAATTCCATAATATCTTGGACGCCGTCGCCCGTAGAAGAACCGTCAGGCGTGATGGATTCGCGTACGCCAGCAGGTCCGCCGCCGTGTGTCGGTGTCCGTTACGGTCGAAGATGGTCCCACCGACCTGTGGACGCATCATAAATTGATGGTTTTTAGATGATTGTACTGGGAAAAAAATTGTGTGGAATTTTTACTATCAACTAATTAGCTAAATTTGACGCTTACGTATAATAATAACAATAATAATAATAAAATAATAATAACATATAAAGTTAATGAAATTAACGAACCTTGGTCCCATAGATGTGATCATAGGTGAATCCGTTGTACGGCGTCACACCGGCCGCCAGCAACCCGTCCCTCACCGCCGATTGCCACTGCAGCATCGGCGGCTGAAAAGCAACGAGCCGCTCGACCCAGCTATAAGACTCATTAACAAGCCGCCCATCACTCCATCCGGCCCGACGAACATAGTCCGGGCTGGCCCGAGTATAGAACCCGGCGTTCAGGCAACTGCCGCCGCCCAGAACGCGCGCTCGGGCGTTTATAACGCCGTCCTCCGATACGAAGCGCTGCGACGCAGAGGTCGGTGAAAGATCGGCGAGAGTGTCTGCGAAGGAAGCGAGGTTAGTAATGTTGCTGTTGCCGTACGGTGAGCCGCCGCGTTCGAGGAGGAGGACGCTGAACTTTTGGGAGAGAGTGGAGGCGAGGGGGCAGCCGGCGGTGCCGCCGCCGATGATTATGTAGTCGTAGTAGGAGACGGCTGGGGCTTCAGTTGCTTGCTTCAGGAACGTGTATTTCGGAGCTGCGATCAACATTTCCATGAATTAATCAAAAGTAATATTTAGATCTTTAATATATTCATTTCCTTCCTACAAATTCATTCTTTTAAAAATTTTATAGCATATTTTTTCTTAAATAAAGTCTTTTGCTGTTTGGCAAGTACGCCTTCAATTACTGTCAGGTGAAAAATTATTCGTGAAAAGTCGCGATGGATTTCCAGAATTACCTCTTATAGTGCCAACGGACAAAAATATATCGAACTAATTAATTTTCACAAGCAAAAAAATAAATAAATAAACCTGTGGTATCTGACCAATAAGCTATAAATTTCTTCGCAATCGACCAGCATCTTAAATCATTTTTAAGAATTGTTTGACTAATGAAATGAAGCAGTTTTTTTAAATATTAATAGAAATCATTCGTAATTCAAAAAAAGAGCACAGTTACCGTTTGATTTGCTTTGAATGGTTGAGATTATATCAATTCTGATTCATCAAAACTATCATATTCTTAATTTTCGTTAAATTCTGGCCGCCCAAAGGACTGGGAAGTAGGAAATCCTAAACAAAGCTATGTGGCTACCTATATTACTGTAGAGAATCCGCACCTGAAGAAAACACAGATAGAGCTGCGAGGGAGAGAGATTCTGTGCGGAAAATTTTCAAATCCTATTTTGTCTCTGTGAATAGTTAAAGTGCAGCACTTTTACCGTTCAGATAAAACTAGACGATTCTTTCCGTTGTTATTCACACAGAATAATTTCTCTCAAAGCAGAGATTAAATATTTTTGGCATCAGTATTCTGACACAATTTAAAAAAAAAAAAAAAAGCCACTCACTAAAGAACCAAACCACATAAATCATAGAAAACAGGAGAGGAATTATACCAAATTCAGAGTGGCAGAAACCAACAAAGCAGAAAAATAGCAGAAGACAACTCTTTTGTAATCTTCTGACTTCCATCCTTTACCCAACAGAGAGAGAGAGAGGGATGCAGTACTGCAGTAGGGGAGACTAGATTTGGGAGCAAAATATATATATAAGAAGGAGAAAAGAGAAGGAAAAGATAAGATTGGTTGTGGTACGAGGTGGGGCCGAAGAAGCAATAGCGGTTACAGTGCAAAGATGAGCTCCAGATTTCTCTGGGGTTCTTTTTCACCTAACAGCGAGATAGCTGGATCGACGCAGTAACTGATGATCATAAAGATGAAGCTTTTAAACATGCACGGCGCATGAGAACCTCTCCTTATTAAATACGATTCCTTAACTAAAAAATGGGGAGAAGATGATCAATGCAAAACTCTATATAAAATACAAGACTGCCCAATATTATCATAAATGAGTAGTTTTTTATAGTATACTCGAAGATTGACTCTCCCAATTAGCTTCATTAGTAATGACGTGTCAACATAACTGATGATCGATCTCCTTTCCTAGTAGTTGGTGCTCGACAAATCTCCATCTCTAGAAATTCACTAGTTTCCTTTGTATTAAAGATTTGTGCATCAATATCCTTATTGTTGACTCAATTCTTATTTTTGATCACTCTAAGTAGGTCAAGAGGATGTAGAAAGAGAATACTCGAATATAGTCAGTGTAATAGCTCAAAGTCTTAACTATCAAGATATTGCACATTTGACCGAATTGCGTGACTATTTTGTCATTTTGATGTAATTTCTCCGTAGGTCACCACCCATTGAGAGACTGCTCCTATAAAAGCACGCTTAACTTTTAGAGTTTCTAATAAAATTCTAAACATTACAACAAAAAGACATCTCGATGTTTAAGAATTTATATTTATTTTTTCAAGGGATTTTTCACGACCAATGAAATTTATTTAAAGGGATATATACATCTATTTAATTTGTATAAAAAAAACTAGTAAAATCTTTGTGACTATGAACATGCAAAGGCTAATATATATATATATGAATCACATAAAGTATATATTTGTCTTCTAATCATCTTGTGAGTCTTCATATATTCTTCTTTATTCATTCTTTTATTGACATTTAGTAGACCTTCTTATTTAGAATATTAAAACTTTTTTTTTTACTTTTAATTTTATTATATTAAGATAATTTTCATGCATATATTTGAAGTCATGAGGTGTAAAGAACATGAATTTGAAAGGTATCTTTTACTCTAAATGAATTTTATTTTTCCTATAATGTTGATGATTTCAAGGAATGTGCATTTAATTTGAGTTGACGCAATTAAATTGCAATTAGAACTAATAATCGATATAATTGCATAGCATCCATAGTTTGTTTGCCATTAATTAGAAACTCTCCTAACTAAACTCTGAATTAAATAGAAAATTTAATTAGGGGGATTAATTAGCTAATTTGCGTATAATAGGGGCTGTTATTTAATGTCGAGTCAAAAAAATAGATAAAGGATAGAGTTAAAGGAAATAAAAGGGGTTGGTGAGAGATAAGAGGAGGTTAGTAGTTGAGGCTTTGTGGGGAGTAGTTGGGCTGAAGAGTAGAGCCCACTTGAACTCTTAAATGAAAGGCTTTAATGTAAGAGAAAAGTTTGATGGGTTGATTGCTACATGTGACACCTAATTAGGCTGCCCCTTATAACTGATCCTGTTGCATTCTCAATGGATTAGATGATGAGTTACTGAGCGAGAGATATTTAATAAGGAAAAGAAAAAAAAAATTATATATAAATTAAAACTTTTTTGAAAAAGTCATGATATGTCATGAAAATTTGTTTTGATCGTGCATGGATCTTGAAGCATATATGAATTAGAAATATAAGAAATTAAAGTTAGGACTATCCAAACTCGGTGGCACCAAAATTGGTTCAGTCAGAGTCTGAACGGGCCCAAATCAAGGGACTGAAATATATTTAGAAGATTAAATGTATTAGTTGGATAATCAAATGATATAAAAATATGATATGCTTATTGTCGAATTGAACGGCTTGAGAAGACGAATCCAACGAGCCTAACGTCTCTTAATCTCGGCATCATTAAGATAATTAATTGCTGAATGAATGTTCTATGATTGAGAGAATCAATATGGGCCGTTCGATATATGGAGCACCCTCAATTTTCCATGTACCTTTTTAATATTTATAGAGTGTGTCACTCCAAAAATCTATAAATAGATCCTTACTCTCTATATAAGGCAGACCTTTTGCTAGAGATCTGAGAGAGCTCTGGGGCTTCTAGAGCTCATTCGTAGGAGAACTACCGTCGATCGACCACCACAAGACCTTGGCCACGCCTCTAACCGCCATCAGACCTCCACCAGACCATCAACTATTGTTAAACCTCGGCCTGACCGCTGATTACTGATGTCGGACCTATGCTAATCCACCGCCTAGCTAGCTACGAGATATTCTCCTGGTCGTCAACTGTCGTCGGAGCTCCACCAAGCTACCAATCATCGCTTGACCTCAACCCGGCCACCGACTTCTACACGACTTCTGCCCAATAACCAATCGTCGTTGGACCTTTACCTGACCACTTACCAATGCAGGACTTTCGCTTGCCACCCAACTGCAGCCAAACCTCCGCCTCGGGCATCAACCTATGCTAGACCTTCTCTAGCCGCTGCTTCCACACATTCGACCTCCTCTTCAAACCAAAATCATTACATGATAGATAATTACTTAGTGTTTAAGTGTAATGCACATTAAAAATATTTATACTTAAGAATATTTACACACGAACTTCTGACAATTAAATTAACTATATAAGAGCAACACAATATTTGCTATAAATGGTATAGTTAAGGTATAGCAAATGAAAAAGCTAATAAATTAGTGTTGTGACTATTAGAAATAGTCTCAATGCAAATAATCAACTCAACTACACAAGCTGTCTATTTATTTAGTCCAACACCAAAGCCATACAATCCATGTCTATACAAAATAATTGTATTAGTATAAGAAATACGTGCTAGGAGTGTGAGTATATAGTATCAAACATAATGAAAAGATTTACTCAGCTCAAGAGTATCAAAGCCTTAGAATGTGATTCAACATATAATATATTAAACATGCAATAATATAAATTTAAATTAATGATCAAGCAAATATAAGTATTTTATAAGAAGATTAATACGAGATTTGGAAAAAAAAGTTTATAAAATTATAGTTGTTAGTTTTATACGAAAGAAAATTATTTTTGTTATTCATTTCTAAGTTTCTAATATGATTAACAAAATAATTAGTCAATAATTTATGCAATAATAATATTTCAGTCCATATTTATAATACTCAATAATTTTTAAATTTATGTAATATTTATATTTGATAATATGTGATGGATTTGTTATAACAAATAAAAAATAATGTAAACAATGCATTTTATTATTATGCAATGTTTTTTTTTTTTTTTTTTTTTGGTAAAAAAAAAAAGTTTTTTTTTTTTTTCATTTTGGAAATAAAAAAAGACATTCCATTTAAGATGGTCTTTCATATATGTATAAGATGGGCTGCGGCCCACAAAATTGGAAAGCTTGTTGTAGAAGCCAATTGAGTTGGGCTTTCAAAAGGTCTGGCACTCTTGTGCCGACGTGGCTCAATGGCAGCCGAGTTTGCCGAGTTTGAAGGCTTGTCATGGTAGCGGACCCATTGGGCCATCAAATGCCAAAAGAGACTCAGTATGATTGTTAAATTAGAGCATGATGAAGAGAATAATGCATTTGGTGGCACTCGTCTGATGGAAGATTTCAATAAACTTTAAGATATTTTTACTAAATATTGTCATCAAACTTCAACGCAAACTTGAATTGAATTTTATTACTGAGAAAAGGGAAAACCTTAGGAGAAGCATAGTTTTAAGCTTTAGCAGATGAAATATGGAGAATGCTCAAGAGTCATAGCCTATCAACTAGGTCTGTGACCCTAGAATGACCCTTATGATGGAGTATGAGTAAGGAGGATTCGTTGTAACTACAACTTATATCGTCTCACATGATTGATCAACAAATATGTGCTCCCCCAAGTCTTAAAAGAACAAAATTCTTGAAGTTAAACATTATGAGGCCCAATATCACTAATACCTCTGCCACCAACTCATGCTCTCAATCCAACAAAGAACATTGAATAAAAATCTAAGTTTCTTGTTTTGTTCTTCAACCTCACCAAACAACCATTATATCTTTTTGGTCAATCTCCATTGAAGAACCAAATCATCCTAATCTCACCACCTCAACTCTTATTCCTCCTCCAAGCCCTCACAACTTATAATGATTGCATTAATGGTTATCACTATTATGAACCTTACATACGATACAATCTTCACTGCATTTGAGGCCTCAATTATCTCTCCCATGGGTGATAACTTTATTTTTCCAGCATCAGCCTCATTTACTACCTTTTTACTTCTTTCTTGCCTATGCCTCAACCTTAAGTCTATAAGAATCTGTTTAAAGGACACAATGAGAACATACTCTTTAGCAAGTTATTTGATGGAAATGTCATATTTCCCCTCACTTCTAATGCTTCTGCTAAGAGAACAAAACCAGCTTGGATGGACTTGTGTTTGTCGAATATTGGATTTTTCATTGTTAAAGTAGAAGGTGTGAAAGCTTGAAGATCTGTAGTTGCATTTTGAGGCACTATGCACTACAATTATAGTGCTTTGACATGAGGAAAAAATACAAATTCAAAGGATTGTTTAAAGATTGGGTGCAATTTTGGTTAACCACATATCTCTTGTGGTAAGGATAGAAGTAACCCAACATTAAATCAATGACATGTTAAGGAGACTTGTTTTATATTATGCGCTAGAGAATTGCTTGGGGGCACCTCTTTGGACTACATCTCGACGGTATCTCTCGTGAATTGCTCTAAAAAAAAAAAGCTTTCAACAATTTATGTAGAGAATCCACATGCCATCTCGACAATCCTCCTATTCCACTCAATGTACCCATCAAAGTCTGGATTCTTCTTCAACACAACTTAGATATGGGCTTCAATATTTATAGCAGAATCCTACAAAATCTAACACACATCACCATAAGAGTGGAGCTATTGCATTTAATGAAAGGGCTGCCATCAAAGCACGTCCACATATCCATATAATGAATTTATTGCCACAATATGAGATGCACATTATTGCCATTTTGCTCATCACCTTTAAAGTATCCTAGGATATTATCTTATGCATATTCATTGCATCTATTCTCTGTTTAGCTCTTGGATAACTCTAGTAT